CCCCATAAATAAATAAATATTTTTTAAAAATTAAAAAATAAAAGAGGGGAGGGTACCTGGCTGGCTCAGTTGATGGAGTGTATGCACTGTTGATCTTGGGGTCATAAGCTCAAGCCCAACACTGGGCACGGAGCTTATTTAAAAATAAATTTAAAAAAAGAGAAAAAAACCTATAACCAATTTCTAAAAGAAAGAGCTTATATGGTCAATCACTATTGTTGGCAAAGCTTAAAGCAAAGAAATTAGTTTTACTCTTTAAAACAAGGGTATAACTGTAGAGGGAAGAAATGTTTACCCTTTTGTCTGTATTAGATTCTAATCCTCTTAACTGTCTTTGAGGTTCTGTTCTAAGTTGGACTGGCTCCTGAATTATTCTAGTTTCTTCAAAAATTTGGCTCTGACTCTCGAAACGAATGTTTCCAATTTTCTCCCAGCCTTCTGATTTGGAATCACCAAGAACAAAGACTGCCCTTGGATCTCCTTGGGAGGTACTCCAGGTCCTTGTCACCACCCAGATGGCAGCCAGACTTCAGGGACTTAAAGCCTGGAAATGCATCTTACTGCTGAAAAGGGCTCTACCTGACATGGGGTCCTATACAAGCCCTGGAGACTTCCAGATTCAACTGAACAGGACGGGAAGGAGCTGACAGCAAAGCAAAGTGCTTCCTCCCAAGATGCCACATCAACACTTCATACTTCAAAAGTGAAACTCTTTCTTCCTCCTTTTCTGTCCTTTACTCTGGCACTGGCCTGGAAAGATCACGCCATCATCTGTATCTCCCAGGCCACTGCTAAGGTGGGTAACTTCTAGAATTTACAACAACTTTTTATGTTAGGCTAAGAGGAAACCTAGCTGACCCTTTGGCTTGAACGGGCAAATACAAACAATCCCTGTGAATGAATCCATTCACCACGCCCCCGTAGGAGGAAGTGCCTTGGACCCCAAAAGAGTTTGTCTTTATCTGTGGTGGTTATCACTATGAATGCTGCTTTGTCTAACTGTGGGCCTAAGAACTAAGGCCAAATGAACTAAGACAGCTCACCGGTCCACCCTCCAGGACTGACACTGTCCAGTTAGAAAGGAATTACCAGAAGGCATTCACGACTCCAACTCACGTCCTTTGGCAGGACCACACTTCACTGGTTAGGAGTACAGGTCAACGAGAATATGATCAGAAACCTCTCCTAAACTCTTAAAGATAGTGCAAAATCCAGTGCTAATGACAACAGCTGCCCAATAAAGATCCTATAGAAAGTTGTATTCTTAATAACGGGATAGCCCTTGGTTATATTTTAGCCAAAAAAAAGCGATGTCTGAACTATGGCTAAAACCACCGGCTGCATCTGCATTCATGCATTCACACTTCTGGGGAAGTTGAAACGCGGACATATGATCATGGAGCAAACCACCTGGCTTACTCCTGGCTCACCCCTTCACCGGGGTCTTTCTTTGACTCAGTTGACCTTGATTTTGATTAGTTTGGGACCTGGGGACCCATATGGCTCTGAAATGCACTGGGAATTACCCTGCTTGTAATAATCACAGTAGTTCTAGCCTCTCAAAAGCTCTCAATACACGTTTACAGCCACTAACCACCACGCAAATGATCTCCTTAATACATGAACATCAGAAAGAAACGAAGAAAAAGACCAACTTAAAAGACCGTAAACCTTGAAATTGTGGCCTATGAATCTCATGAAGATTAAAACAAGGGCGCCTGGGTGACTCAGTTGGTGAGGTGTCTGCCTTCGGTCAGGTCAGGATACTGGGGTTCTGGGATCGAGCCCTGTGCATCATCGGCTCCCTGCTCAGTGGAGAGCCTTCTCCCTCTCCTTCTGCCACTCCCCCGCTTGTGCTCTCTGTCAAGTAAATAAATTTTAAAAAATCTAAAAAGCAAAACAAAAAACAACATGACCTATGCATACCACACAAAAAAATCAACAAAATTTCAGATTTTGTTCAGATTTGGAGCCGAGAGTGCCATTACAGCCTTATACTTAAATCACACCTCTCAGTTACGCCGAAAATCTGATCGAAAGGTGGAAATTGTTAACAAGGAGACAGCGGTCCCCAAATGCAGTCACTTATGGTACACCCCACCAAGACTTAATACCTAACTGCACCTTCACCTCTCAGAAAAGTGACCTTCAAGCAGCCAACCTGGAACTTCCCGGTCAGCACTGGAAGGTAATCCACTGATGGACCCCTTCCATTACCCTAGAAGAACATCCTGGCCTAAAATGCATCCTTTGCTAATAATTTCCTTTTTTCCTTTCCTGCTAATAATTTTCTTTTTTCCTTTCTCTCTCTGCCTTTTAAAACGTTCCCTTCTCTGCTGCTGGAGGGAGCTTCCTTCCATTTGCTAGATGGGATACTGGCCAATTCATGAATTACTGAATAAAGCCAATTTGATCTTTACATTTACCCAGCTGAGTTTTGTTATTTAACACCCCTTCCATCTTCAGGCTCTGGGGATTGTATCATTTCTTTACATAGCACAGATGTCAAATCTTTTGTCAAAGATATGTGTCATACCATGTTTTCAAATAGTTTTTAGTTTCCCTTGTTCAGTTTTGATAGTTTTCATTTTCAAATTTATAGTCACTATCCATTGAGCTTTTCCTCTGTAATTCTTTTACATAATATCACCCCTTCATAGTTGGAATAACTAATGCTTTTATCCATATTCTTGATTCTTTGGTAGTGGGTGGAGTAAGGTTCTTGTTTTATACTTCAATTTCCATAGGAATTTCAGACTTTAACAATTTAAGATTTTATTTATTAATCTGACACAGAGAGAGAGACAGCACGAGAGGGAACACAAGCAGGGAGAGTGGGGGAGGGAGAAACAGGCTTCCCACCGAGCAGGGAGCCCGATGTGGGGCTCAATCCTAGAGCCCTGGGATCATGACCCAAGCCGAAGGCAGATGCTTAACAACTGAGCCACACAGGTGCTCCTAGACTTTAACAGGTCATAAGGATGCAACTCCCAAGCCATCCACTATGATATCTAAATTGAACTTGATGCTCAGTTTCAAGAAAAAGCTGCCAACTTCTGATACTGATGACCTTAGAAATACCAGGGCAACACTCAATGAGTATTATATCCAAAACAATTCTCTCCTCCTCTGTCTACAGTGTCCTGTGCCTGAGTAACTGTGCTGTTTATATATTAGAATTTTGTTTCCAAATAGTTAATTTCTGGTTCTAGCTCTCTGTTCATGAGTTTCTTTGCAGGACAAATTTTTAAAGACATTGTCTATTTACTATTATTTTTTTCTTTCTACTAAACTGGAGTCCTCAAATCAAGCAGAGATGGGAGTTCTTAGGAGGAAGTTGTCCAGCCCAAACCTGAACTCCAGGTGGCACTAAAAGCTTAGCTGTCCTCTCAACACAGCTTCATGAAGGTTCTGGAGTGTATCACTTAAGAATATTAATATGTTCTCCCTCACTCCACTGAATTACTATATACAAACCATTTCTACAATAATAAAATAATTTTCCTAAAATAATTCCTGCTAAAATAATTCCTAAAATAAATCCTAAAATAATTCCTGCTATTAACTGGTGCTAAAGTATAAAGAAAAAGCATTGCACGAGGTCTGCCTCCTGACAACTTAGGACTGGCGTGATTACATAACCTCTTAGGGTCCGTTTCCTCCAATATAAAAGGGGAGTAGAGGAGACAGAGTCAGGGGTGGGGGAGGCAGTTAATACAAAATGTTATCAGCTAAGATGGTTTCCCAAAATTCACTTTGTCTTTGCCCTACAAGATTCTGGTTGGGGAGGAGGGGCCGTCTGAACTACACGCACCGACGCCAAACCCCCCATTCTGAAACAGAAAGGGGAATGGGAGGAGGGGGGGAAGAGAGGCAGCGGGGGACAGGCAGACCTTTCCCCAAACCCTGACCAAGTAGGTAGGGTTTGCTGCATTTGACGGGTCCCACAATCGCTGAACAAAGCATCCCCCGGGGAGGAGCTGGGGGCTATCATCGGGGCCATCCGGTCCCAACGGGGCCCTGGGATGCCCGTTTCGGGGGCTCTAGGGGAGTACTTTTCACCATACCCCCCGGAGAACCGGGAAACCAGGCAGATCAGGAAAACACGAGCGGCGCTGAGTGCCGACACTCCCAGCCGCGCAGGAGACTCACCCCCGGTAAAAACATCCCGCGCGGCCCCTCCCAGGCCAAGAACCTCGTTCCGTGGCTTCCCAGCGAAGCCAGGCCGCGACTGTCCCTCGAATCACCTCAGCCGGAAAATGTGGCTGCGGGCGCTCGCGACGGGCGTTCGAGTTTCGCTAGTGCCTGGGACCGACGCCCTCCCCGCGCCGCCGGCGGAGTTTTTAACTCCAACTTTCCCCGCCCAGGGCGGGCACGAGCCACGTCCTCTGTCCCTTCGCGGAGCGGGCTTCGCCGGCGCAGGGGCCCCGAAGACAGAAGCTGGCGGAGGGCGGGACGTCGCGCACACCCCTTTCCGGGCCGGTCCGCCTCTTACTTAGCTGTGCGTGTGGGGACTAACAGGTCTCACCATCAGAAGCTAAGACGAAAGTCGCCTGGAGACCTGGGTGCCCGGCAGCCTCGGGGCGCGCGCGCGGGCGAGGGGGCGCGGGGCTGCCCCGCTCCGCGGCTCTCCCGGCTGCCCGCGGCCCTCCCGCGTGTTTCCCGTGCGGGTGGCGCTCTGGGGACGCTGCGGCCGGGCCCCTCAGCGGCACCAGCCCCCAAGCCCGCGAGGCTAACGCGCGCGGTGTCTGCGACAGCGGCCAAACGTGCCGAGACCCCCGGCCCGGGGGGGCGCGCCCTACGGCACACAGCGAACAGAAACTAGTTCCGGAGCCGGTTCTCCAGAGCTCTCGGCCGCGGCGCTGCCCAGCCGGGAGGGGGCAGCGCGTCGTCCCGGGGGAGGGGACAGTCGCGCGGCCCCAGCGGAACGGGCGGCGGGAGGGGCGCAGCGGCCCGGGGTCCGCCGAGCAGCCCGGGCGGGATCCGCGGCGCGCACTCACCTCGCGGCGGGGCGGCCTCGGCATCGCGGTCCGGGGAGCCGCCGGGGGCCAGCAGTGCGGCGCTCAGCACCGACGCGGCCAGCAGCAGCGCGGCCAGCGCCGGGCCCGCGCCCCGCGCCCCGCTCATGCCGCCCGCCGCCGCCTCGGACGCCGTTCCTCCGCCGCCGCCGCCGCGCTCCCGGGCCCTGCGCTTCTCCGCGGCGCACGGCCGCGCGCCCGTCATCGCCTCCCTCCCAGCTGCCGTCACCGCCGCCGCCTGACTCACCCGCGGGGGCGGGGCGAAGCGGGAGTCGGGGGCGGGGCGCGCGGGCGCGCGGGCGGCTCCGGGGACCCGGCCGGGCGTCGGGCGGGGCAGCGAGCGCAGTGAGGAGCCCAGAGCCTCTCCCAGCGCGCCGGGCACTTTGTCCCGCGGACACTGGCCGCCTGAAGGCCAGGAGCCTCGGCTCTCCAGTCTCTGGCCACTCCCCTGAGCAACTTTCTGCCCCAGCGCCGGGTGCAAACGGGCGTTAGTGTCCTCTGCCCCCGGTTCTGGAAGTGCCTTGGTAAGCAAGACAGGCAGAACCCCAGCTCCCAGGGAGTTCACCCTCCAGAGGCAAAGATGCGCCTCCAAAGCCACCGTAAGGTGCCCCCACCCTGAAGCTCTGTGTCGGTCTCCGGTGCAGTTAGAGACGCGCGGGCACGCTAACGCCGCAGGTGCGCTCCTGTGCACCCGCGAAACTGTCACACGTTTGAGACACGTTCGGTAATGCTTGTAGCAGAGTGCTTGGGAATTTCAGAAACCTGCGAACACTCTAAACGTCTGTCAGTGGAGAAAATGGGTAAACTGCGGTATAATATATACAGCTGTAGAAATGTTCTCGAGTTTCGGGTATCAACATGGATGAGGCACAAAAATAAAGCTGAGGGCAAAATGCAAGTTGCACAAATACCTTTGGAATAACTTATATGTAAAGTGTAGAGCCAAGAAAAACAATACTATGTATTGTTTAGATATATATGCACATGTAATAAAAGTATAGAGACCTATGGAAAGATAAACACTCAATTCAAGGAATGGTTGGGAGTAGGGAGGGAGCAAAATGTCATTACCCTGGGCTTGGGCTGGCAATGTTTCGTTACTTAACTACGGTGATAGCCATATGGGTGATCCCTATATTACTTTTTTTTAAAAATTTTGTTTATTTGTCAGAGAGAGAGATCACAAGCAGGGGAAGCAGGAGGGAGAGGGAGCAAGGAGGCCCATGCGGTGATTCATCCCAGAACCCTGGGATCATGACCTGAGCCAAAGGCAGATGCTTAACTGACTGAGCCACCCAGGTGCCTCCCCATATTATTTTTCATACTTCTCTGTATGTTTGAATTACCTGACAATTTTTTTAAAGATTTTATTTATTGATTTGACAGAGAGAGATCACAAGTAGACAGAGAGGCAGGCAGAGAGAGAGAGAGGGAAGCAGGCTCCCCGCTGAGCAGAGAGCCCGATGCGGGACTCGATCCCAGGACCCTGAGATCACGACCTGAGCCGAAGGCAGCGGCCCAACCCACTGAGCCACCCAGGCACCCTACCTGACAATTTTTTAAAGCGATAGCGCAGTATGATGAGTGCTGAACTGGTAGAAGAACAAGATGCTAAGATAGCATTTGACAGAAGCACGCAAGCTAGTCTGGGAAGACTCCCAGGAAGACTGACATTTAAACCAAGTTTGAGGGATGTTAGCCAGGGCAAAGGAGGAAGTGTTCCTAACAGAAAGAACAGCCCTTGCACAGGCTCCGAAAGCAGGAACCCAGTGTTAACTGAAGCAGAATTCTGCGACAGAGCTAGTCAACAGAATGAGGTTTGTGCAGGTGCCTGGGTGGTTTAGTTGGTTAAGCATCTGCCTTTGGCTCAGGTTGTGATCCCAGGGTCTGCGGATCAAGTCCCACATCCGGCTTTGTGCTCAGCGGGAAGCCTGCTTCTCCCTCTGCCCCTGCCCCTTTCCCTTCCCCAATTGTTCCATCTCTTTCTGTCTCTCTCTTGCAAAAATAAATAAAATTTTTTAAAAAAGTAATTGAGTTTGGGCTTCTTCCTAAGGACCATAGCAAGCTGTTGATGAGTTGTAAGGTGGAGAATAACTTTCAGGAAAATGATGGTCATGGACTGTCTCACAGAGGTCGTCACATTATTTTTCTCAGAGAAAACAAGCCTCTATGCCTGAATGTCAGAAAAAGTTCAGTTACTCCCTCTTTCTTCTTTGCCCCACAGTTCAGAATCTCAAGACTCAAGGGACAGTGGTGTCTAGGCCATCTGGCAAGTCCACTGCCACCAAGTTGTCTACTGTCCAACAGCTGCTTCTGGTCTCCACAGAACCAGAATGGGCTACAGGGTGATACGGGCTACGGTATGGGCTACGGTGATAGGCATATGGGTGATACCCATATTACTTTTTTTTAAAGATTTTGTTTATTTGTCAGAGAGAGATCACAAGCAGGGGAAGCAGTTGTCTACTGTTGTCTGCTGTCCAACAGCTGCTTCTGGTCTCCACAGAACCAGAATGGGCTACAGGGACCACTGGGTAGATGTATCCCTTTCCCTTCTCTCCTTGAGGACAGCTCTTTCAGCTTTCTCCCCATGGCCAGGAGAGCCTGCAGTTCCTGTCTTAGAGCAGTGCTTGGCTGTCTACCTAGAGTGCCCTTCCACCAGATACCTCCTGGCTCCCTCCCTCACTTCACTCAGGTCTCAGCTCAACTATTAGCTTTTCAAGGAGGCTTTCCCCATTACCCTTATCTAAAGCTAAAACATCCTCTATCCCTGTGCCTCACTGTATCTGCTTTGTTTTCTTCCTTGTATTCATCTCCACCTGACATTATAGTATGTATTTGTTTATCTGTTTCTCTGGCACTAGAGTGTAAGCTCCATGAAGGCAAATAGTTTGTCTTGAGGACAAGAACCTCCTCTGTTAGGCTATGCTGCACTAATGAACAACCCCCAAATCTCTTAGCTTATCTCAACAGTTTACTTCTTGCTCACACTTATGCCCAACGCTTCATTGCAACAGGAGCTTCTACCACTCTTGCAGCAGTGGGGAGATAATGTAGCAAACCCCACACTGGCTCTTAAACTCCTTCTCTAAAGAGATGCCTGTGACTTGAATTCACATTTTAGCATCCAGATCAAGTCACATGGCCGCAGGCAATGAACATATGTGGGGGGCGGGGGGGGGGGACACTGAAGGAAATTCAATATCCATTCAACCCTCAGCTAATGGAAGGGAATAGAATAGAAGGGAATTTCTTCAATGTGATAAGGAGCATCTATGAAAACCTTAGCGCTAACATGACATTTGGAGGACTGAATGCTTTCCTCCTAGAATCAGGAACAAGGCAAGATTGTCTGTCCTCGCCATTTCTACTAAACATTGTTCTGGAGGTCCTGATGAGTGCAAAAAGGCAAGAAAAAGAAATTAAAAGCTTACACATTGTATTTATTCAGAGATGGTATGATTGAATTTGTAGAAAATCTCAAGGAATCTACCCCAAAAAAGCTACTAGAAATCCAAAGTGAATTTAGCAAGGTCACAGAACTCAAAGTCAATATACAGAACTCTACTTTTATATTCCAGACATAAACAATTGGAACTTGACATTTTTAAATAGCATTTACAAAAGAGTTTTTAAAATGAATATATAGCAGCAAATTTAATAAAACTTAAGATTTGAACATAGAAAACTATAAAACATTGATGAGGAAAGTTAAAGAAGACCTAACTAGTTGGAGAGAAATACCATCTTCATACATTAAAAGAATCATTGCTGTTAAGATGCCAATTCCCAGGACGCCTGGGTGGCTCAGCTGGTTAAGCGGCTGCCTTCGGCTCAGGTCATGATCCCAGCGTTCTGGGATCGAGTCCCACATCGGGCTCCTTGCTTGGCGGGGAGCCTGCTTCTCCCTCTGCCTCTTCCTGCCACTCTACTCTGTCTGCTTGTGCTCGCTCTCGCTTCTCTATGACAAAAAAAAAAAAAAAAAAAAAAAAAATGCCAATTCCCTCCAAATCAATCAATCCCAATCAAAATTCCAGCAGGTTATTTTGGTTGGTTTTTTTGGTGGTTTTTTTTTTTTTTTTTTGCACATGTGAAGAAATTGAGAAATGATTCCAAGATGTATATGGAAATGCCAAGGGCCTAGAATAGCCAAAATCATTCTGAAAAAGAAAAAGTTACAAAAATTGCATTATCTGGTTTCAAGATTAATTATAAAGCTATAGTAATCAAGACAGAGTGTTTTGGGGACACCTGTGTGGCTCAGCTGGTTAAGCATCTGCCTTCAGCTCAGGTCATGATCCCAGGGTCCTGGGATCAAGCCCCACATTAGGCTCCTAGCTCAACTGGAGGCCTGCTTCTCCCTCTCCCTCTCTGTCATACCCCCTGCTTGTGACAAATAAACAAATAAAATCTTTTTTTTTTAAGATTTTATTTATTTATTTGACAGACAGAGATCACAAGCAGGCAGAGAAAGAGGAGGAAGCAGGCTCCCCGCTGAGCAGAGAGCCCGATGCGGGGCTCGATCCCAGGACCCCGGGACCACGACCCAAGCCGAAGCCAGAGGCCCCAACCCACTGAGCCACCCAGGTGCCCCAACAAATAAAATCTTAAAAAAAGAAAAAAAGATAGTGTGTCTTTGGTGTAAAGATAATACATATCAGTGGAATAGCATAGCAAGCCTAGATATAAACACACACAACTGGGTTTTCACCACATTTCCAAAAGAATTTAATAGGGGAAAGGATATTCTTTTCAACAAATGATGCTACAATTAAATGATTCGCTGTGACCCTTACCTCATACCACACACCAAAACAAAACAAAACAAGAAAACAACAACCCACAAACCAAACAAACAAAAAAATAGATTGAAGACCTAAACATAAAAGCTTAAACTATAAAACTTCTGGAAGAAAATATAGGAGAAAATATTTATGACCATGGATTAGGCAAAGATTTCTTTTTTCCTTTCTTTTTTTCATAGCATGTATTAAAAGAAGAACCAGTTAGGTATTGGGTGAAAGATTTCTTAAATAGTATATAAACCTTTTTTCTTTTTAAATTAAAAATCCCTAAAAAATAAAAAACTAAAGACACTGTTAAGAAAAAGAAAAGAAGGGCGCCTGGATGGCTCAGTGGGTTAAGCCGCTGCCTTCGGCTCAGGTCATGATCTCAGGGTCCTGGGATCGAGTCCCGCATAGAGCTCTCTGC